TCCCTGTGGTGCAAATGCGAAAGCCCGAAAGATCCCAATCAACTGCAGGTTTTGTTGGAGAAAAAGGGCCCATTCGTCCAGAACGAGAGTAAAAAGCTATTCCAAAGCTGTCAGTTTAAAATATGAAGGTTTTTATATGGTTCTTGGCAAGCTTTTAATTGCTACAGAACCTTTAAGCCTATACTGATGTTCTCTGAGCTTTAAAAAGCTTGGAAACACTTTAGAGTGAGGCATCGTTCGTAAGACTACGTGACATCTACTTAAGGTCATACTGGCAAAAACCCTCCTTATAAACATTTATGAAGGCTTGTTTCAGTCATAAAGGCTGTGATATCAAGATCACAAACAGATTTCTGTCTGATATCAGTGATTTGGTGTTTATTAATGTTTATGAAGTTCTATGTCAGTCGTCATGAAGCGTTTATGTAAGTATCATGCAGCCTTATGAGTGCAGCCTTACATTCTTAGACAAGATGGTTCTTCAAGGGTTCTTTAATAAAGAATATATATATATATATATATAGAAACACAAACACTCAAAGAACCCTTGGCATGACTAAATGGTTCTTTGCATGGTGAAATGGATTCTTTATAGCACCAAAAAGGGTTCTGCTATTGGTAAAATATCATGCTCGTCTTAATAGAAGAACCATTTCACCAAGTACCCTTTTAAAAATGGTGGTTCTTCAAAGGTTCTTTAGTAAAGAATACATATATAGACACATGAACACTCAAAGAACACTTTGCATGACTAAATGGTTCTTTGCATAGTGAATTGCGTTCTTTATAGCATCAAAAGTGGTTCTGCTGTTGGTAAAATGTCGTGCTTGTCTTAATAAAAGAACCCTTTTTGGTGCTATATAGAACCCTTTTCAAAGATGTTCTATACATAAAACACATTCTCCATTAATCTGAAGAACCATTTCACCATGCAAAGTACACTCTGAAAGATGATGGTTCTTCAAAGGTTATTTTAGTAAAGAAAATGGTTCTATATAGGACTATGAACACTTAAAGAACCCTTTGCATGATTAAATGGTTCTTTGCATTACGATATGGTTCTTCAGATTGATAGAGAATGTTTAGAGTATGGTTCTATATAGCACCAAAAAGGGTGCTGCTATTGTTACAGGCTTGTCATTGTAGCAATAGCAGAACCCTGTTTGGTGCTATAAAGAAATCTTTTCAAAATATAGAACCATCTACAGCATTCTGCAGTCTGTAATCTGAAGGAACCTTTAACGATTCATGCAAATGGTTCGTTGAGTGTTTATGGCTCTATATAGAACCATTTACTTTACTAAAGAACCCTTAAAGAACCATCTTTTTAAAGTGTGTACTCTTTAATCATGGAAAGAGTTCTCTGAATGTTCAGGGTTCTATACAAAACCATTTTGCTTTACTAAATAAGAAGATTAAAGAGCCATCTTTAAGTGTGTAAAGTGTTACTAAAAGTTTCTTCACAGTCCACTTATTTGCAGAAAAACCTCTCACTTTAAGGTTCTTTAGGGAGCCAACTGTGGTTCTCCTGTGGTACAGCTCCAAGGAATCTTTTTTTGGCAAGCTTAGCAAAAAGGCACACAAATGCAACAGGTGTGCTACAGACATGCAGCGTGCTGCGAATGTGCTTCTCAGCAGAGAGCGTGGTGGGAGCTGGCTTTGGACAGAGGAATCCCAGGAAATACCTCGGCCTCCGACTTAATTATTAAAATGAACGTAGCAGACTGAAGAAATTAAGATGTGGATTCGCATGGCTTTATATGGAAAACATACGCGGGATACAAATCCTCGCCGACAACAAGAGCAGCAGTTCCCTCGCTATAAATCCACTCACTGGAGAGCAGAACGCTCCTCCACTAAGTGCCTGGAAACACCTATGTGAACGTGTGCAGCAGAAACTATTTTTTTGACCAAATAAATAAATCATTAGGAAGAACTCTGGCTTTGTTTTGCGAAGCTGGGAAGAGTCCTCGCATGCTTTCCAATTGAGGTTAACAATGGGACAATTCGCTTCCGAGAACAAAAACAACTTACAGGGGGGCTCGAGAGGGGAAACTCAGCAAAGTCTTCGACCCCTCTGTGTCCTGCGAGGAATAAACTGTGGGTGATTCTAATCAGAGAAGAGACTCCAGACCTACGACTTGGACTCAAACTCACAACTCGTGAAATTAGTTATTATTATTAGATGAAGTTGTCAGTCAATCCAGCTGAAGTTTGAGTTATAGATGCTGCTCTTTCACAACTTAATAAAATCTCAGCTGGATTAGTTTTTGCAATGCCCAGCTAATATATGTGGCAGAAACTGACTATTTGAAGTTGTTTTGCCTCTTTTTTTAAACACCACATGTATTGTACTTCAATTCTCACCTTCAGACTGAAGCTTTTTCTAATGTCAAAGTCATCAGACTCAACTCAGATTCGAATCTCAGGGACTAAAGACTCGACTCAAACTTAAATCTCAGAGACTTGGAATCAAATCTCAGACGCTCAACTCAGACTCCAATCTCAGAGGCTCGAGACTTGACTCAGACTTGAATCTCAGAGATTCAACTTGGAATTGAATCTCAGAGACTCCAGACTTGACTCGGACTCGAATCTCAGAGACTTGTCTCAAACTCAAATCTTAGAGACTTGGCTTGGAATCGAATCTCAGACACTCGACTCAGACTCCAATCTCAGAGACTCGAGACTCGACTCTGACTCAAATCTCAGAGACTCGATTCGGGAAGCGAATGACAGAGACCTAACTCAGACTTGAATCTCAGGGACGAAAGACTCGACACAGACTCGAATCTCAGAGACTCGACTCAGACACGATTCTCAGATGCTCAACTCAGCCCCAAATTTTAGAGACTCGAGACTCGACATGGCGATAAATCTCAGAGATTCAAGAATCGACTCTGACTCTAATCTCAGACTCGAGACTTAACTTGGACTTGAATCCCAGAGACTTGAGACTCGACTTTGACTTCAATCTCAGACACTCGACACAAACTCGAGAATTTACTTCAGCTCGAACCCAAGAGATTTGGCTCGGACTTGCACCCAGAGTTTCAAGACTTCTCAGACACAAACCTCAGAGAGTCGAGACTTGTCTCGGACTCAAAACACAGAGACTAGAAACATGTCTCGGAATCTAAGCTCAGAGACTTGAGACTCAACTAGGACTCAAATCTCAGACACTTGAGACTCGGACTTGCCCCCCACAGACTTAAGACTCATCTTGGACTCACACTTCAGAGACTCAAGACTTGACTCTGACACTCACATCCCACAGAGAGTCATGATTCTACTGTTGAACATCTTTGATTCTAAGCACAGTTTCTCATGTGTCTTTTGGACATCACTGTGTACAGTGATGTCCAAAAGGCTGCTGGATTATGGGTAATCTACATGCCGCAGCTGACAGGAATGATAGTCCAGCTGTGGCTTCCACTCCTGACTGCATTAACTGTGTCTAACCTTCACAAGTACAGCAGCTCTTTAGCACTTAGAATCGCAAAAGCCTTGAAACATTACACTTGGTACCTTTCCAAGTCAATTCCAAATATAAGACAAATAAAAAAGAAGAAACAAGCAAAGAAAACATCTCCAACTGCGTCGGACTTCGTTTATAATGCACTGTTGCAAGGCAACATAACTTTGGCTGTATTTTCTTCATCTAACATCATGTTTCCAGTTATTAACCTTATGAAAGCAATCGTCTGTGTTTTCCTTCTTCTAAGAAAAATAGCGCAGGATTAGTTCTGTATATGTAAGGGATGTAAGGGATGAGAGCAGGAGTAAGGATTTCACAATGCATGATATTCAGTGCTGCATGCCTTAAAGGGGAATTCCACCCATTTTCAAAATTTCTACATAATTAAACGGTTAAGATGTAAACAGAGTCGTTCAGAGTGGTTTGGTGTGAAACGCTCTGTTCTAGAGAAACTTACAGAGTCAGAATTGTTCACAGTGGTGGTGATAGGAACCAGACGTCCACCTCTAAAAGCTCCCTCACAGAAAGTTACTACATGAAATTATTATAAATTCACTGCCTGACATCTGAGACACTGTTTTATTAGAGTTTTCATACAAAGTTTTGGTCTTTAACATATTTTTACAGTACATTCATGGTGGAGGGATACATGTAGGACATTGTAAGCAAATTAGTCCCTAAACTTAAAACCTTTTTTTAGATTCTCCACTATTTTCCATCATCAACATTCCATATAAACTCAGAAGACACGTGTAGGTTCATTGCTGGTTTTTGATAGTAAATACAATGTCTATATTTGTGTTGTAGTCATGGTGACCCCTGGTTCCTATCATCACCACTGTAAAGACTTCTGAACCATTTCAAACCAAACCACTCTGAATCACTCTGTTTACATCTCACACACTGAATTATGCAGATATTTTAAAAAATCAGAGGAGTTTCCCTTTAAAGTTGTAAGTATACTTATCATAAACTTTGAAAATGCATTGCTCCCATTAGTCATATCTAAGCACATCTGTATTTGCATATAAGTGAGTCAGTTCCACAAAGTTTAAGCCCCAGGAGCATTCTGAAAATTAAATAAAATGCAAAACATATCCCAATGGAGGTGTCATTTGTCCACTTACAGGTCATTCAGCATAGTGGACTGTGTAAGGAGCTAAAAATGATTGCAATATGTAATGTAATATGATTTGCAAATCTGCAAAGTGTGCTACTTTTTGCCTCTAAAGTCAAACTGTATATATTTGCATACTTTATGAGTGTAAATACTCGATAAATATGTAAGCAAACAACCAAGTGCATATCAGCAGTGTGATGAGAGGTCATAAATCTAATGTAAATAGAGTGAAAAGTTTACAAAGTCAGTTTATTTTACAATCTTGCGATTGTTTTATTCTTTAAAAGAGCATAAAGTTATGAGTGGACCAAAGTTATGACACATGAAATGATTAAAAGAGTCCAAGAAAAGCTGCACCTGTCCCCGGTCCCCCAAACTAGAGCCCGCTAAGCGCACACCTACCTCCCTGCAGGGAAGGCTGCAGCAGTGTGAGGAGCAGGAAGCTGAGAAGGAGCGCCACGACCGTCCCGTTAGCCATCTCGCTCCGAAATGCACTGGTCCGATCCAAATCAGCTGGTTTTATTCTCAGAGAGCTAATTAGCACTTCACAAAGTCTCGAAAAAAGAAAAAAAAAAGGTAGACAGTGAAGGGGGGAGGGGGGAAAAGGAAAAAAACGATGCTGGACACGACGTAATTAAGAAAGGGCAAAGCCTTCAGTTCGATGGATCATTGCGCTTTTTTCTCTCCTGCGTCTGGTGTTGCTGTTTTTATTCTGGACACTCCTGCCAACAATGCTGAGCACTGCCAGAGAGAGAGAGACACACACACAGAGAGAGAGAGAGAGAGAGAGAGAGAGAGAGAGAGATGGAGAGGAAGGGAAGAAGAGAGAGGGGAGAGGGTGGGAGGAAGGGTGAGAGAGAGATACAGAGTGAGAGAGAGAGAGAGAGACAGAGAGAGAGAGAGAGAGAGAGAGAGAGAGAGAGAGAGAGAGAGAGAGAGACCCCTCGTTCCCACTCTCTCATCCAAAAAAGAATTCGATTGTCTGCCAGACATTTGCATGGATTTTAAAGAAGCTTATCATTTTTTTTAAGACCGAGAAACTCAAAGCAGCACTGGTGTTGACTCCGAAACCAGCCCCTGCAGGAAAAACAGAATGTTTCGGACACACGCACATATACGGACACTTAAAGGGCCAAAAAAGGGGATCGACAACAGCTCAGAGACGAGGAGAACTCTCAACAAATGTTTCTCTTAATGAGATCCAGGGCGAGTGAAGCATGTAGTAAATGAACGGAACAACTTGCACATTAGCGTTGGGGGAGCTGGAGGTGGACTTCTAGCAGGGCAGTGAGAAAGCGCTCCACGTCAGAGCGAGCTGGCCACTGTAGGCCTCGCTAATAGACACCAGAGTGACAGCCAGACACCAGCTGACCGTCGCCAACTGTGGGTTACAAACAGCTACTGTTGTCCTCCTCACATCTCTCACCAGGTGTCCTAAACCTCAGGACATCATTGGAGCACTGGAGCAGCCTGCTGACAGACGATGGACAGACCTAATCTTACGACATATTCCACAGCAGCAGGGACACAAGCAACTTCATTCAGCAGACGTGAAGCTCAGTCAGATTACTGGAGCTATGCTAACAGACTGTGAAGAAGGCACATTTCACTATAGGAGAAAATCTACAATATTATATTATTACTGTAAAATATTACCCATATGATGGATGATTATATATCACTGAGCAGCTGCATGGATGCAAGACAGACAGACAGACAGACAGACAGATAGATAGATAGATAGATAGATATTATGAAAATAGACAGACAGACAGATAGATAGATAGATAGATAGATAGATAGATAGATATTATACAGATAGATAGATACATAGATAGTCAGATAGATAGATAGATAGATAGATAGATAGATTGAGTGCGTTTATATGCACTCAATAATCCGATCATAGTCAGATTTCTGCAGTTATCTGATTATTCAAATGGTCGTGTAAACAGCACACTCTGATTTCTTAGATCAGAGTAAGGCCTAGAAATCCGATTAAGAAATCTGATAAAGACGCTGGATTTTAGCTCAGTAATCAGATTTCTCAGTGCATGTAAACTCTTACTCTGATTTCTTTCGGATTTCTCAGTCTGTGCATGTGTGAAAACAGACGCTGTACTGGACGTTTACGTCACGTCTTCCTCAGCGAGTTTATTGGCTGGTTGTAAAGCAGAAATCTAATTACTGTCTGACTCATGTAGACCCGGAGTTTTCACATTATCTGATTACTTAAGTTGCATGTAAACGTGTTAATCGGATTACTGACAAAATCTGATTTTCTGCAGTTATCGGATTATTAAGTATATGTAAACTCACTGTCTGCAACCCATCACATATAATAGTGATACCACAATCAGTCAGAGCTACAAAAACTTTAACATATCTTCACAAACGTCTGTTAAACATCGCAGTGCACTGCTTCCCTCCATCATCTAAATGCTTCTTTAAGGGCCTCCCCAAAGAATTCTGGCTTTCAGGGGGTCCAAAGTGTTAATTAGAGTGTTCTGGGCCCCCCAGCACCCCCTGTTTTTCACACCTTGCTAGAACTACAACACTACATAACGTTATGAACGTGTCAGTGGCAACACGTTTGGTCTCAAAAGGTCAGCAACGGTGATATTGTACAGCTCTAACTGTGACATCATGCACAGATGGCCTTCCAGCACAAACCATGGACAAGTTTGGATTAATCTTGTGGAGCCTTGGACATCCAAGAGCTCCAAACATCCAGATTACGTACTATCCTAACATGATTAAAAGCACGTCAACGGTGAACCTTCTTGTCCGAGACTAGACGTTCTATCAGACCACGGTGCCATCCAAGCCATCGTTTATCACTGCCATTTATCTGTCAACATACTCTGGAAACAATGAAGCGGATCAGAAAACATGACGCCGGAAAGATGGGGAATGGCCGGGACATGAAATCAATCACACTGTGGAGATTTCCTCCCAAACACCTGCACAAAATGCTCAGTCATTGCTCAGCATGCTCATGGTTCTTCTCCTCGCACCTCATTGCTGACATGCCTGTCACTCTCGTCTCCTCCCCCTTGGCCCTGTGGATGCTGCACATCGTGGCTTCGCTCTGTATTAGGTGAGAATCTGGCGAGAGCTTCGGCCCAGATCGTTCCTTTGTCTGCACTCACAGATGGGCTACATACAAACCAGAGAGATCTTCCAAGCCATCTTCAAAGTGGTGACATCCTTCATTTACATCCAGAGATTCCTGAGAGTGGCTGACATCTAGCTTTTTCATGCTCTTCTGGATGCAGGAAGCTTTCACAGCATGGGTGAAGTAATCTGTAAGTTTCTCTAGAACAGAGTGTTTCCCACCAAACCACTCTGAAGGACTCTGTTTACATATTAAACATTTAATTCCGAAAAACTTTAGATGAATTGTGGTGGAATTCCCCTTGAAATCTTAAACCTCCAAGCCATTCCTGACCATATTTTACTACAGGTCTTCACAGTGGACTCTGGCAGTCTGGCTGCAGCATGTAGGTGTTGTGTGTTGATGGAATCTGCAGAATCTAAACTAGACTTGAAACATGATATGAATAAGTGCCAACACATGCTTTGATTAAGTAATTGTATTAGCATAATCCTCATATAGGGGCCTGTTGGGGGCATTAGAACTGGCTTTACCCTGACTGCAGTCTGCAGGATATTCCGCTGAATTAGGCTGTTTGGTAAATTTGATTCACCGCTAGTTAGTTAAATCTGGCTTTGTGGATTCATCCAAGACAAAGCAGCAGATACAGCATGTCAGGATTAAGAAATGAATGGAATTAATAAACAAGTCCACTGAGAACACAAACACAATAACATCACACGTGTTCAAAACTGTCAACGCTATCATAATAAGAGTCTGACATGAAGTCTGCCTGATTTAATTGAACACCAAAATAATTAGTATTTGATTCATGAACACTAAATATGTATCAAACACTACGTATTAATACTACTACTACTACTACTACTACTACTAATAATAATAATAATAATAATAATAATAACAACAACAACAATTTATTATTATAACAAAAAGTTGTATAAAAAATTAGTTACCAAAGAATTACTAATACACACTGAATGCACCTAAATAAGTGTATATGTTATGTAGTTCAAATTTATACTTAGAAACAAAATACAAGAAACTGCAAAACATTTCCTCCTTGGAGAAAACCACTTTATTCATTAAAGTTCTGTACGTTAAAAATCTGATTATAAAACTAAAACTAGTTTTATAATCCATCCATTTTGCCGTGTGAGTTCACGTCTGGATATAAATTTAAGTGATATATTTAACAGCTTGAAAAATGCTTGACTATTGGTGAAATAATCAGATCTATTATCTTCATGAATAACATCAGGAATAACATTAAAAGAAAAATAACACTATAAAGCTATTTATGCTCCTGCCAGTAGGGGGAGCAGTGCACCCCAGACTTCGCCTTTAAGAACAACCACAGGCTAATCAGTCTGCTAAATATTTTTCTTGCAAGACTTGTAATGAATTAGGGTGTGCTTCGTGTAAATTTTATTGCAAACGATCAGGCTCTCGTGCAGCTGTGCACGTTTCCACGCGACTTTGACAAACAAAAGCCGACCGTTCCTTGGACGAAGCCCTGTGGGACGCCGAAGATGCTGGTTAAACCTTCGCAGAGTCCAGGAACGCATGAATAGAGCCGTTCTCCTTTTGCTTACAGTAAATCATTAGCCAACACCCAAAGCATTATGAACTCTGATGACCTCGCACCGCATCCTGTACGAGGGCACAGTTCCAGTGTTTAGTTTAAGACTAATAACTTCTCCCTAATGAGTCTATGTTAAGACACTGAGTGCATTTTTTGGAAGTCAGAAGTGTTCACCTCCGTTTCTGTGGCTTTCTCTATTTTAGCTCATGTCTGCTGCTTGTCCTTTCAGCATGGTGTTGTTGCCAGAAGACAGGCCTTGTTTTTGTATTCGGAGAGTATGTGAATATTACGCAGGCCCACATTTGTCAGATAGCTGAGTACTAAAGGCGCTCACCACTCAATTCTTAAAGCCTGGATAAATTTGTTGGCTGTTTTCCGTGCAGAATTATGGAGAAAACTTCTGTTTTCTTTTTGCATGTTACCCACAGAGCTGGAAAAAAAAACGCAGTTATGAAGTCATAGAAAGGATCTCAAACAGGCCCGTTAATGTTCTGTTTTTTAAAATTAATGGACAGTGGAGTTTTGGTGATTGCTCAATTTCTCGCAATCACTGATAATTTGAGCCAAAATTGTGCTCCTGCATAACTGATAATTGAATCTTATATTTTTGGCAGTGATCGCAATCTGCATCGCATGTGAAAAGGCGATAAAGATGCGTGCTATTAAATGCAATTTCAATCAAGGATACTTCATGAGCATAATAGACAAGACGCATGACACAAATGCTATGTGCTGCAATGGGCCGCGGGGAACTAAAGCAACAAGGCGCGAGGAACGACAGCGCTTTCTGAGTTGCGCTACTCCAGAAACAACAGCTGTTCTGCTGCCCTGCTCGAAGAAAAATAATTTGCTTGGGCTTTCGGCCGTTTTCCTTGGCGTGGCGTCGTCTGTATGCATCTTAAAATATGATTATATGATTGAGTCATTTCTTTATATGATCTTATAAAAGAAGCAGGCCGTAATGATGCTAGTGACTTGTTTGATCTCGG